TTTCCTCCTCACAGCGAACACAAACTCAATATTCAGATAATCCCGTCAGCTCGTGTCTCTGAACCTCTGAATTCATCTGACGGCACCAATAACGACGGCTTATTGGCAGGCTGGTAGTGACGCTGAAAACAGCTTCTCTCTGCTTTTACAAATGATTTTAAACACAAACATGACTGCTGCCTGTCAGGGAACCTTATTAGCCACCAGGAGGAGAAATTACAATGTTTGACTTGTACCAGTGCAGCAGCTGATGTTCCAGCAGCCTGCTCGGCATCTTGTTTAGATGTAAAATAAAGTAGACGGCTCTGAACATAATGCTGCTGTCTGAGTGGGAAAAGTCGAGGCAATTATGTTTTCTTTTTTTCCTGATTCTCTCATTTTGAAAGTTCCCACAGTAATTTATTTGCTGAATGAGTTTCATGACCTCTCCGGCCCTTAAAAACCTGTTAAAATCCCCATTGTACAATTTCAAATGTGCCTACGTGTCAAAAGGAAAATAAACACTCATTTCCTCATTCCTGAAATGTTATTTTTTTTGCAGCACTAGCAAATGACAAGATGGTAACAAGAAATAATGACTGCTTTAAACTCGTCTTCTTTGGAGATGCACAAACTTTTGTGCATCAAGGAACAAAAATTCAACATGAAAAAAAGAAAGTGTGTTAATAAATTGCAGTTGCAATGTGTCACCTGAAACTCTATTGTGGATGTTTTTAAATTTCCTTTCAACAAAATGACTTTGGGCTGCTCAGGGTTTCCGTGTGCACTGCAGAAATGAAGTCATCACTTTTGTGAACAGCTCAGTTAAACAGGAAGTGGACTCAAAGCACTACTAGTTTTAAACTTACCGGTGCTTTTTGAAAGATTTGTTTGAAGGTTTGCTCAAGATTTGGTCACAACACAGTCGAGAAAAAAGTTCTTGGATTCAAGCAGCAATAAGACAAAAAGCTGACGAGGGAATCAGGAGCAGGTGTCGCTCAGCGAAGAAGAAAAGTGGAGCTCATTGTGTCTTCATGGACAGTCAAATGATAAAAAAACACATTTTACATTCTACACTTACAGCCTCCCAGACTTTAAAGACCATTTATTTATTAAGGATCATAATTAAAATGTGTGGACTTGTTCATAGTGAAGCTGGTGACATTCAACCAGTCAGTCTCCACAAAGATGCTCTACAACTAAACTGTTCTCAGTTATGGTTGGAAGGAAACATGTTTGCTGGCAAATTGTATGGTTAGAACTTATCCATAATCATATCGATGTACCACCGATACGATCTTTGTCCATATTTGATCTTTATATTTATGATCTTATGGTCTGAACACTGACCTGCTCTTTTATCTGCTTCTTTGTAAGATGTTGTGTTTAACTGTCAATACAACTCAATTCCTGTTTTGAAAAGCAAATTCCTGTAACCTCAGTGAAGGATTAGAAACACTGAAGATGTGTTATAATCTCACCTAATGAAGTTTTCAACCCAGACTTTGTCGCTGCCGTCATGTGAACCAAATCTAATGACCCAAAATCTGCCTGCGTTTGCAGGCTCGTACATCAAGGTGTCTTTTTAAAATCCCACCTTCATCCCAGCTGCTGTGGGTTTGCATATAGAAGAGTGGAAAAGGAGCCATCTGTGAGCAGCTTGGTGTGAAAATAAAACACTTAGACACTCTAAATCTACTCATATGACTCACCATTGAGAAGAAAGCAGCAACTCCTGAATCGATTTCCCTACTTCCTACTCTCTAAGTCAACACTGCCAGCCAGCAACAGCAGCTTATGTACCGAGTGTTTCCCCCAACAATCAATAGCGAGCTGCTGTTTCACCTGAATAAGCACTCTAAAAAGCTATTCAGCCACCCTGCTTCATTTAAAAAGACGCCGGTTGAATAATAATGCTGAGCGGTCATGCCTGTATAAAAAAAACAAAGATCAGATGTGATTTTGGCCACAGAAAGTCTTCTTGATTGAGGAACTGATCGATGTAAATCTAGTGCAGCTATATCTAACTGTGAAGCATATTTTAGCTCATAGTTTTAGCTTAATGACACAGTTTGCTGCCCATCTAGCTCCAGAACACTCGTGGACATTAGCAAGTATCTACCAAAGAAAAAGGAGCATTTAGCAGCTAAAAGTGTTGGTGGAGACCAAACTGGAGCTAAAAGCAGTTGTAGTGACATCTACCAAATGGACAGAAGAACCCTAAAAATCTGTTCTAACATGATTCATGTCTGGTTAGGCTGCATATGAATGTTTCTGCCACGTTGGAACCAAAAATCAGCACATTTTTGAGTTCAAAAGGGTCGTGCAGTTTTTTTTTTTCAAAATAAAACAGCGATTGTTGAGCTGCAGCTCTGCAGGATGTCACTTTGCACAGCACCGACTGTAAACTACTGTCCGACTGAAAATGCAGCTGCCGGTTTGGTGCTCTATAAAACAGATGTTTCACCGCCCACACAGATGGTGAAAATGATCACGTCCCAAACATAAGCTTTATGTACAACAGTGCTGAGAAATAAAAAAAGAGACAAAAACTGAGGATTGCATTTCCATACTGCATCAACAATGACACTTTATTCACAAGTTGTTTACACCAATAGAACAAAATATCTTCTGTTGTGTTTTTGGGTTTATGTACAGAGTATTAATGCATCAGACCAGCCATCTATTGATACTTGATGAGAGTGTGAAAGAAAGAACTGCATCGGGGGAAACGACGGAGCAAAACAACGCCCTTTATAACAAGCTGAGCTTTGACTTGGTAAAATTCCTTCATGCTGTTGTTCCACATTTTTCATCTCACAGCATCTTTAAAACAGCAGAAAAACTCCACTTTAAACAAGCTGTTATAAGAAGCATTCTTTTGCAACGTTTTTTAAAATTTTGTGACGAGGAATGGAGTCGATTCCAACGCGCTTGCTGCAGTGTTACATCATGTAGCTACTGCACCACCTTTCAACTCGCTTTAAACCACCATCTGCACAGTTTGGAGATGATCATCCTTGGCTTTTTGCACTTTGTAAGGTCCTTGGAGCTTCTCGTGCAGTAAATAAAGTCAACACATGAACCAACATTTGGTCGTTTGCTTGCAGAGGTTTGCTAAGATCGTCTCGAGGCAACAACAAACTACGGCACACGCTGCCTGAATAAATAGTCATGCACTAGCAGCACACTGTACGCAAGTCCTGTTACTGTACGATTGTAGAAACAAAACTAGAATTTAATGGATAAAATCTTTAAAACTTCATTTACTGTCAATCAATTGAAAGTTGTCGAATTATGTGAGCTGGTTTCCCAAAGTCATCTTTAGATAATCAGTGTTTCTGTGGTGTTTTATTTAGCTGAACCTGAAGTCCATCAGTTTTTTTCTTTTGCCACAAAGTTAGAATGTAATCCAAGCTAACAAGAATTTACCACCAATACCAGGTTGTATGAGTCCTATTATTTCTCCCAGCCCACAAACACAGTGACTTATGGGTAAAACATCTCTTAAAACTCAGGATATTGTGTTTGGAAACCAAGAAAAGGAGAAATCTCTGGGTTCATTCTTGACCAGTTATCAGAAATCTGGCACATATGGACATTTGTTAAGTCCATGGAGGTGTTTATTTGTGCAGAGTTGCTGTTTTATCCACAGCGGAACAAAAACTCCAGTTAATTTTAAGATGCTTTTGGGAAAACCAGCTGATGAGTGTCGCCGCAAACTAGTTCTTAATGCAATACAGGTTCAGCTACTGTACATGTACAAATCATACATTGATGCTACATAGAAGACCTACTATTCAGAAGCAAAACTACCCTCTTTTAGTCAGAAACATTTGATTCACCAATGGCTTCATTCCAGACTCTGACAAACTTGTAGGAAACTTTCTGTCCTCAGGTTACCAAAGGCAGAACGTTCGTCAGTGTTTATCATCAAGCACTGCTCACCTTGAATCCACAGGTTCATCCACTGGAATAAGGCCATTTTCAAATGAAGCATTGCTCACTAACCTCGTTTCCACGTGGCTTTTACAAGTTCTTCCATCTACTGTAATTCTTTTTATTAAGGCAGACATGAGTGTAACTTCACTGACAAGCCACGATATTGGTTGTCCACAAGAGAACGATTCAGATTGAAGAAACACAATATTGCTTCTACTAAGATGATAAAAAAAGACACTTATAAAGAAAAATAAAAGTCACATCCGTGCTCTTTCACCTCATTTCCAGCAACGAAGTCGTTTTCATTTTTCTGGAAAATAAGTGGGATTTCACTCATATGTAATATTACAGCCACTTAATTTTACAAAAAAATAAAGTGTCACAGGAAATGGAGTCACTCTGATCTACTGGACTGGATGCAGATGAGTTGCACACTGATGGGAAAGCATGGCACTAAATATCAGACACGAATACGACTTAGTGGTACAAACATGATGGTCAGCGTCACACACCCAGCGACCAATCAGAGCATCAGTTCAGTAAAACACTCAGGGCTTTGGCAAATACAACATCATTTAGGAATCCTACACATATATATTTCATATGCTCCAAAACCAAACATTTATTTAGTTCTGATCATGCTAAACCAATCGTAGATCGTGATGCTGCCAAACCCAGGTGGTGCTTATGCCAAACAGAAAATATGACAAATATAAGAGAACATAGAGATTTTTTTTTCTTTTTTTTTTCTTAGCAATCTATCAAAAATCTGTTTAACAGCAATGAAATGTGACTTTGGAAAAACAGGCTGACTGGATCATTACAATAGAAGGAAGGTCTATCTATGACAGGACTGGTTCAATGGCTTCCTGGCATGATGTTTACTAAGATGGAAAGAGAGGCGGTGAAAGGAGAGGAGACAATACAGGAAAGGCAAGCCAGTTTAGAGACAAAGATAAAGAAAGATTGGATGAAGGGAGACGAAACAGGAGGAAGGACACAAGATGAAGACAGAAAGATAAAGAAGGACAAAAAGAAGAGGAGGAGGAAGGAAACGTGGATTAGGTGAAGAATGAGGCTGAAGTGAAGCACAAGAGGAGATGGAGACAACAGAAGGAGGAAACGAAGGGAGGCAACAGCAGGGCGATCCTCCAGTCGGAGCTTCTTCCTACTGTGGGAGAGCTTTCAGGATGGCGTTCACCTCCTCAGCAACAGCCGTCAGAGCAAACTCAAACTGATCCTGCAGGGAGAGGAGAGAAAAAAGAGGAAAGTGGTGAAACATCCTCGTAGGAACAAAACCCTGGACAGGAGACAGGATTAGTCAGAATCTGGTTTCAGTGACGCCTGCTGTGAACGAGCAGTTTGGTAAAAAGATGAACCTCAGTGTTCCTGCAGAAACAACCTGGAAGAAATCCTCCTGTTGTTGTCACAGTTTCTCTCTTAACAGCGTTCATCATCCAGGTAGGACAAGATCAGAGCTGCTACTAAATCTTCATGCATCTCATCCATATGTGAAGTTTGAACTTCTCAGACCAAGATCACAACCACTGATCTGCTGCTCTAACAGCCTCAGCTCATGGTTTCAGACTTCATATCACCTGGCTGCAGGGATTTGCTCCCGTTCAGCCACAAGAACATGAGTGAGGTCCAACACCAGCAGTGCTTCTGTAAATGAGATGCAAACTTTTAAAATGTCACAAAAAAAGGAAAAAGACCATCTGGATTAGGCTGGTTTCCTTCAGCTGTTTAGGAGTGAATAAACTTGGCTTTATAATGTTCCTCATGGCTACAACAAACAGAGCAGAAGAAACTGGAAACAAAACATCTAAAACAAGGTCTCAAGAAGAAAAAGACTTCGACAAGGAAATAATTGAGGGAATCTTCAGAAGTGGTTTTCAGTTGAATAACTTGGATTTTTTCCTACAAGTCAGCTTGTAACAGCCAAGTTTCATGAAGTCCAGAGTGAAGACAATCAAGAAGCTGAAACTGCTCATCAAGCATGTGATTTTATGCTTTGCTTTGTCAGAATTTATTTAAAAAGAAAATGTTTCTGTCTAACGTCAAAAAGCACCTCAAGCTTGCATAAAAACTTTTTTGCGAAATCGGGGAGCAATTTTTGCAATTTTTGTCTCGTGCAGTCCTTCAAAATGGACATGAAAGTACATCATGGAGACAGTTACTGGAGTGATGAGTCCTGGTCCATCAACCCAAAGCTGTTGGATCCGGTTCAGGCTCAAACTCTTCCAAAGCAAACTGGTCAAATCGCTTCTTTATGGGACGCAGCAAAGGACACATTAAAAGGAGCTGCCTTGAGGTATTATCCAAAATAACATTTCAAGAAGGACCATTAAGATGGTCAATAATTGGAACCTAGAGGCCTAAACCACAGCAGGACAACATATCCAGACCAGAAATGTGTGAAGGCATGATGGGATGTCAACAAGAAGCAGTTCTTCAGTTTTCTAAGCTCACTGACGTTGTCTGCTGCCTTAAAGGGCCAGAAACCACCCAACCTCTCAAACAGAGTTCAATCTCTGCTTTGATTTACAGCCGACAATGTGTTCTTAAAAAAAATAAAAATGTTTTATCAAAATTAGGTTTTTAGGTGAGAATACTGCATCAAAATATGGTAAATTTAGCAATTTAGCCAATTGGTGCTTGACTTAGAGATGTTTTCATGCCATATTGAGTCATATTTAAAGCTCTACACATTAGTTTATGTCCTTACAGCAGGTGGAAGATCAAACAGCGTCACTCTCCATCAAACTCAGAGAGCCGAGGCTGCCGACCACGAATCAATGTGTGAGGAACGCAGACAGCCTTTCACTCAGGATACATGCTTTAATCAAGCCGGGATCGATAGCGCAGATGTTTTACACACATCCGGGGTTTTCTCTCTAATTATGGTCACAGATCAGCTGGTAATTGTTTCCAGAACGGTCTGGAGTCATTCTGTACAGTGTGAGAGGCTCGGCTCTTTGTTTTAGGCAGAACGCTGAATTCTCTGTAGATGGTGCCGAGATGTAATAAACAGAAATGATTTAATGGTAACAAAACCTTCACTAAATAAAATAAGCTAAACTCTGTTAGCTTTTAAATAATAACAAAAAGCTGCCGTCCTGTGGACAGTGACGTGTTTTTCTTGAGTATAAAGCAGGTCAAGGTGATTCAACAAATGTTCAATCCATTAGGAAATGTACAAAACTTGTGTTCATGCGTTCATACTCAGAAAACCTTCAGTACAACGTATGTTCTGTTGAATGCAGGATACACACAACTAAGGCATATAGCTGCAGTTTGTTGTGCAAAATTTAAAGCAGAACAAAAGTGTGTTCAGAACACAGGTGTCATCTGTCTGTGCTGTTTCTGTGCTGCAAACATGTTTCTATTCACCATCAGAGAATGACCAGGACAGGAAACCCAACAGGATGCAGGAGGACATCCTGGTATTTCTGACATGTATTACGACATACTTCATGTGTAGCCACGTCGCACTGCAAACTCTAAAATGCTTAAGCTACTAGCAAAACAAGATAAATGCTCTTATGCTGGCTGCAAGAGTGAACACATCAGTCTTCATGCACTGAGAAACTGAGGAATGAAATTTCTAAATCAATGCTTGTAATGCTCATATAGTGGCCTCCAGGCAGCCTCTTGACCTTGTTGCCGGCCTGTTCAGGAATCCTTCATGTTGTGAGAAAGCACTTTTACTGCCTCTTCACAGACTTGCACCACCTGCAGGCTGTATGGAGGTTGTGTGGCTTTCAATGATGCTGTTTTTGCCACTAGCTGAAGGTAACAAACAGCTTGCATCCTTTCTCAGGGCACTCGTTCATGCAGCTTATTCACTGGTTGTTTATTTTTGAGTCCGTCTGCAGAGGCTGAATTAAAATCACAAAAAGACAAATCATTTAACTATCTGATGAAAAATGATCCCCGTAGGATCCAGTGTACTACTTTATGTTCACCATTAACAGGATCCTTGGGTTTAGCATGTTAATGTGGCTAATGTGGCTAACATTATTAGCTCTGACTGTATAATAGGCTAGAGCTGAGTTAAAACTGCAGTCCTGAGGGAGAATCTGAAATTCTTGAAACTTTAAGAAAAGTTTTGAAACAATACAGAAGTAGAGGAGTGGGGTTTTTGTGTTTTCATGTTGTCTTTGTACTACATTGCAACTGAACTCAGCTAGCAAGCTTGTTAACATCCCCTGACCGTTGTCATGTTACCATGGTAACACAATTGCATCAAAACACTGTGTATTGTCACAGCATCTTTTGTAGGAGTCTAGTTTTGTTCTAGATTTGGTTGGAATGTGTTTTCATGGGTTTTGCTCCCAGCCGACTGCTCTTCATGGGCTATGTCTATATTCTGGATTTGAATATTCCTTTGCTGTGTTTTTTCCGGCACATACATGGCAATGGCAGAAATGACATTTAAGTAAAAGGTGCAGACACTGAAACAAAACCCGTATTACAAACCATTTGTTGAGCTGCAACTTAAAAGGCACGTTTGGAGGACATGTGAGGTTCATGCTAGCTTGTTAAAAACGGTAATAAAATAGGAACTTTAATAAATAAAAGACTACATGGATCTCTATTTCCATTTTAAATATGTATTCTTGAGTTTTCATCCAGTTTCTAAAACGAAAAAGGCTCCATCAGAAGTTCTGGTCGTGCTGCTCTGGGACCAGGTTTTAGCCACCATTTGAATTCTATACATATTGCTGTGATCTGGCCTGACCCGACTGTAATCCCTGTTCAATTACTTTTCAGAAATCAATTGATCTCAACTGCTGCAAATCCAGCCTATCACACAGCGGGGCCCAAAGATTACCAGCCAACCCGAGGCTTTCAGATAAAATGAAGTTTTAATGGAAGCATGATTGATTGCTAGAGAGAGAGACAGTAGCATGACATAAAGGTCACGGGTTTGATCCATGATGCAATGTGTCCTCACTGCTTTTCCCTTCATCTCTTCACACTTTTTATTTTTTCCTTTATTTAACCAGGTGGGTTGATTGAGAAAAGATTCTCATTTACAATAAGGACGTGGCCAAGAGGCAGAAAATACAATAAAGGCAATACATCCATTAAAAACACGATACACAAACAAAACATAACAATGAAAGGCTTTGAAGATAAAATACACTAAAAGCAGGTACAGGACTCAGGAAGAAACACTTGTATTAAAGTAAAAGCAGCAAGATCCTGCATTTTACTCACTTAGATGCAGTTTCAACCGCAAAGTACACTGAGTACTAAAAGTAAAAGTACTCACTATGCAGAATGGCTCATGTAAAAATACTGTATGTTGTATAACTGGATTATAATCACAGATGCATTCATGTGTTAATCACTTTAAGCATGCTGCTGTTAAAGGTGAAGTTTATTTTAATATTTGCTGCTGGGTAGTTGGAAGCTTCCCTGCATAGAATCAATAAAGTTTGATCTTAATCTAAGAAGGTGTCTTTCCAACAATCATTAATCATAATTTAGTTGTTGATTAAATGTGGTATTGTTAATCTGAATATGCACCCTAACTAGTAGTGGAAGTGAATGCATTAATGCTGTGTAAAAATAATTCCCTCTGAACTGTAGTGAAGAAGCAGAAAACAGAAATAGTCCAGTGATGTACAATTACCCCAAAACGTGAGTAAATGGGCTTCGTCATTTAACACAACTGCAAAAAATGCTGCATGTTCTGCCGGTAACTAAATATAATTACTACAATCCAAACAGTGATATGACATACCGTGACCTTATTACAGGATGCATTAGGATTGAAAACAGCAAAATTTGGCAGTGATTTCACTTCATTTGAATGGATTGGATGCTGTTTGGGCTAACGCTAATGCTAACCTTTGGAGGGACTGATACTGTAAAGTCCATAATAAACAAAGCCATTGCAGCTTTTTAGCTGTGTTGCATGAATAAAATGTATTTAACCTCCTTTGTCAGAATGAAAACTGAGCGACAGTACAGAGAAAAATTGGCCTATTTTGCATTGAATAGTAAAACCGTTAGTGTGTGGTGTGACTGCTGCAGTACTGGAAAAATGAGATTACAGCAACACTCTGGGGTTCAGCACCAATAGCCTAAAGCTGCTACTAACACCTATTTTTCAATTTCATCAGTTAATGTATTAACTATTTTACTGATTAGTTGATGGATTCATTAAGTTGTTTTTATTTTGACAACCTGTATGTCACTGCATAAAGCTGCAAAGTACAAAATAGAAGCAAATGTTTATGTCGAAGTAAGAAATAGTTGGGCAGCTACAACGTGATCAAATAAAGAGTTCAGGTCGGAAACAAATCCAAGAAGTGAAAAACTTTGGTCTGTGTATTAAACAAACTCTAACATGGACACGGTGGATGTTTTATGAACACAGAGCAGCTAAAGCAAATTGTTTTCTCCGTACTCTGTCATTGTTCTCTGACTTTTGTATTCTGTATTTGAATTCTGTAAAATGAAACCTGACTGCAAACTTGTCATCTTTAACTTCTGCATGTGGTGAGAACCAGGATTTTGCAGAGCACCAGCTTTAAAGTGGCTGGTGATTAAGCTGTATCCACTCTCTGAATGGTCTTATCTTGTTATTTAGACTTTTAACAGTGAACGTAGGACCAGAGCGTTTACTGGAGCTGTTCAGACAGACAGCTCAAGTTAAAGCAAAAAAACCCTCAAAAAGTGGAATTCCATCTCCGCAAACATTTTCAGAGATTCAGTCATCTTTGAAGTGTTTAAAATGCAAATGCCAGATTGATAAAGTAGATTTTTAAAGCGTCATCTGTGCCTGAAATCAAAGATTTCCACATGAACAAACAGGGTTCAGGTGTGCGTTACCTTCGTCTGCACCATCCCTGGCCTTTGGTCCCTCAGGTGCTCCAGAGTCGCCGCAATGTCGATCTCCTTGGCACCTGTCAAATACACAAAAAACACACAAAAAACACACATGCATGAGAAAAAAAATCAACAAAAAAATGGTGTTGGATCGCGTTGAAAGTGCCTCCAAGATAATCCAGCTAACATCTGTCAGTCTGGTGGTTTGTAGCAACTCTCCAAAAGGCGATTACATTCATCCTCTTTGTACAAACAAGCAAACACACACGGACTCTACAAACAGCTCGGAGGTGGCGTTTTGTTGTCGGGATGAAAAAAGATAAAGGGGGCAAAGAAACTGTTGGAGAGGACTTTGTGAAGGAAATCACAGGCCGACGTGTTTGTGGCGTTTTCCAAAGGAAATGGAGCCAATCGGAAAGCTCCTTGTCAGCAATTGGTTGTTGTTCTTAGTGTTTCATGAAGGTTGCCCACCAGAGCTCTGTCAGCTCCTGCCAAAACCTGACATGCCTCAGTGTGTGTGTGTGTGTGTGTGTGTGTGTGTGTGTGGTGGTATCCCAGTCTACTTGCCAGTCAGCTCGTCTGCTTGCCAGTTGGCACGATGCCCCACAGTTTACAACAGAGTGGCTGCCTGCAGTCGGCTGAGCGACCTCTGGCCAAACACCGGTCAGATTACAGGCACTGTGATGTGTTACCGACAGATTATGATGCTTTTAAAGGCAAATACAGAGAAACTGCCACTAATCTCAGGTGTATAGTCACGTGGAAAATTTCCAGCAGTTTGGCAAAGATTTGTCCGGGTCAAGACTTGAAGTTTAGGTTTGAAAGGCAGGTTGTGTTTCAGAAAATAACACCATTAATCAGAGCCAGAAAATGCAAAAACCGAAGATTTAGTTGGATTTCCAACGTTCTTTAAACCACTCATTTGTAACGTGATCTGTTCCATCGGACACCGTTACCAAAGCGAAGCTGGAGCCTGATTCTAAGTGTCGTGTTTAAAAATGAAACCAAATCTGTCCTTAAAGTTCTTGTTCATGTCTTGTTTAAAAAAATTGCCAAAGACAAACCCTTTGCTAAAATTAAGTTCTGTAAAAACCTTAAACTTTTGGACTCTATCAGTGGCTCAGCTGCAACCACAAGTCCTGCAGCTACAATTCAGAGAGTTTTCAGTGAACTGGGCTGAACTGCAGACGATGTTTCTACGGAGAGGACAGGAGACCGGTATTTAAACAAAATAAATCCAAATAAATAATATGATATCTATAGAATGTAGAGTCACTACCTGTTTTTTTAAACACCTGCACTTTTTACAATCTGTGGCATTAAAACTGTCCTACTGCACAGAATATATTTTAATAGATCCTCTCTCCTCCTAGTCTGGTTGAGCTCTTGCCACAGAGGTGCATGTAAATGTAACAGGAACAAAAAACAGACGGGAACTGGGTTCAGAACAAACTAAGAAGTGAAAAGTCTTTCACGTCTGTGAAAAGTGACAATTAAAGTGACACATCGTTTGAATATTTTCTCTTCAAAGCTTTGAGATAACTGAGGCAGAGTCCTTTCATCTACAGGCCCAATAAATATTCAGGTTGAGCAGCTGCAATTAATGCTTCTATCATGAAAAAATGTGACAAATCTAAACAGCGTATCTTGTAGTGGTGAAACTTCAGAGAATTAACACCCAAATGTGCATCCTGCCTGGCTTTACAGAGGAATGCAGTGATACAGACGTCTTTCTGCTTCACTCAGTGCTCTCTATTGGTGGGAAACAGGAGGTGGTTGAGACCCAAACAGAGCTAAAAGAGAACAAAAACATGCCACGACAAGAGTAATTATTCTTTGCTAACAAGCTTGTATCATTCACGTAAAAGATTATATTTAATCATCTTATTTCTGCTGCTGCCTTGTACTCGCAAAAATCTGTTATTATTGCAGATTTAAGTCTGAAGTTGTCCCAGTCAACTCAAGTTCAATGCATATATATAATATATATATCTGTGTGTGTGTGTGTGTGTGTGTGTGTGTGTGTACTGCTTATTATGCAATGACCTATTCAAAATGCAGTCATCAAGGTGACTTATTAGGATTTTTGCCTCCTCTCTGCCTCTGTGTTTTAAATAATAGCAAAGAACTTTGTTGAATTTTTGTGGGATAAAAAGGGAAAATCAGCCGATACTGTTTCACTTTTCCATGTTGTCTGTCTTAATAAATAATGATGTGAAAAGGGTGCAAATGTGAAACAAAAGGAAGGTAAGAAGAAAAACGCTAAATGCTTTTAAAAATGGTGAACAATGATGTCAGTGTGAGTGCAGCTGATTTAATAAATGACAAAAGGGATGTTTTATGCTCCTAATGTACTTGTAGGATAAAATAAAGGTGCGCTAAAAGGATATTTTTGTCAACATGATGTCTCCTGCATACATATGTTAATGCGGCTTGCTTTTAGTGAGCAGCGTTTCTAAGACAATTATCTCCTGGCAAGAAAATAAAGTGAATCCTACTTTTCAAAACACACACTGAGCTCATAATGACCTTATGTCACCTTATAGTGTCAGAGGAGCTCAACCCATCGCTGCAGGTAACCAGGAATTAGCCGAATAAAAGACAGATGATTAATAAAGACAGAAGTGGGAAGGAAGACATCTCAAGGAAACAGCTCGAGACTGTGAGAGAAAAGAGAGCGAGGAGAGGTGGGAGCAACAATTAAATCCACAAAGAACAAGAGAAAGAAAGAAAAAAACACATTTAATTTGTTTTCTCTCCCCCACCTTCTCCTTCTCTTTCCCAATTCTGAAGAAACAAAAAAGCGCAAGAATGAGTTTTTTTCTTGTTGTGACACATAATCACACGTTTTTTTCTTGCCTGCATGAAGAGGAACTGAATGGTGGGAGAACTGCTCATTCACACCACTTTCTCTTTCTGTTTCACAGGTTTTGTGAGCTTTTTTTTCTTCTTCTTCTTCTTTTCACAGCACAATAGACTCCCTTCTAGCCAGAAAAGCTGCAACACACTACTCGCTGCTTTAGTTTTTTCTTTTTTTTAAGGGGAGGACTTAACAAACCGAGGGCTATTGTGCAGGTTCTGATAAACCTCAAAATGGATGGTATTAAAAAAAAAATCATCCTAATCGGGCTTTCCCTTTTTTGCAACACTCTCCCTTGAAGGAGACGGTGGAGGCATGAAAAAGGAGAAACAGCCTCATTTTGAGTTTCCTTTTGGGGTGGAGGTCGAGGACTGCAGAGGGCGGGAGGAGGGTGAAGAGAAAGATTTTGAGGGAAAAAAACAAAGAGCGACGAGGCCCTTGAGGAGGCCGCAAAAGAGCCCGAAGCCGAGGCTCACCAGCTGGACCTCGAACACAAAAAAATAGAAAAAACTCCTGCAGAAAGGAGTGGAGAGATTGTGAAAAGCTCTCCGGCACTTGGTGGGTTTCGTTAGATTCTTAAGATGAAGAGAAAGGTGGTGGTGGGTGAGGAGGGGGTGACGGGGGAGGAACGGGGGAGTCTTTTGGAAAAAAAACCCAGAAACGTGAGAACCACAGAAACACCTCCTCAACCCGCAGCATGGCAATAATTCTGGGGCAAATTTGCAATTCATTCCTTAGGAGGGAAGCAGTTGGAAATCAAGAGAGAGGAGAGGAGGGGGAGGAGGAGGAGGAGGAGGAGGAGGAGGAGGTGGGAAGGTCTTTGATCAGGACAGAGGAAGCCTGCAGACCTGGAGGCCTCCAGCTTCTCAGGACGGACAAAAACCTCCAAAGTGAAGGAGAGAGGAGCTGAAACAGGGACGTGCAGGAGGAAGAAGGTTTGTAACCGTGGAAACCATCCTATAAACTCATAAAACAAGATGAGCTGACCTGGATACTATGAAGATTATTGTTGGTGTTTTCTTCTCATTATTTTATTGTTGGCTTCAGACCTTCACAGAAATCACTTCTGCAGCAGCTTTTGCATTTAATGCTTACAATCCTCCACGAACCTGGTTTAAGCTGAAGAGGACACGTACAGCTTAAACTATATGAGACTAAAGGACTTAAATTAGTCATCTGACGTGAGAGTTGAGGTTAAAATACAAACAAAAGCCTTTGTGTGTGACGGCGGGATGCATGTACAGCCAGCACTGCTCCACACATGGACAAACAGACATGGTTCACTCACATGTAGACTTCTGTCTTATTCACATTTTGTGCTGTATAATGTACATTTCTCTACATATGCAGGAACCTGTGCTATATCCGTAGATATGTGCAGTATATGTTTTTCTACATGCAGAAGAACCTGTGTGTCGTCTGCATTTCCACACATGGAAGAATCAGATTGTGTTTATTTTTTGTACATTTTTCATATCGATGCTCTTTTACTCTCCCTTTGCTGTTACCTTCTGCTATAACACTGCACATTTCTCCGCTGACCTCGTGTCATCCTGTTGTATCTAACTGGTAAATTTCCTACACTTCTTGTCCACAAGTGTAAAAGGTTGATGTTTGAAATGATAGAAACAGAAGGGCTGTTTGATGAAACCTGTCAGTTATTATCTCAGTAAGTCATACATGACTTATTAAACACGACACTGGTTACAGACCAGCAGCATCTCTTCTGGTCGGACACACTGAAGCTGATTAGTTGCTAACAATGTTCAGGTTTGCATTTCTATGATGCATGTAGTTATTTTAATGAGCAACTTGTTTCACACGTAAGTTCATTAAAGCTGCATTAATAGATTTTTTGATGACGTGGAGCAGCACAAAGAGCTGCAAACACATCTAACGTTGTGATGAACTCATCAGGTTGTGAACTGATGCATCTGCAGCACTTGTGCTTCTTGTAGCTCCGTTTTGGTCTCCACCACCTACTATATTTACGTAGATGATGATCTGTTTTCTATGTTAAACATTCATCTACATGTGAAGACTAAATGTTAGGGAGATAAACTATTTCACTTATAGCTCTATTTTTGGTTTCACTATTTCCCTCGAGCAGAAAACCGTCTGTGGCAGCAGAAAACAGAAATAATGCTCAAGTTATTCCCTCAAATATACCTGGAAAGCAGAGCGGAGTGAATTAACAAACTGCTAAATGAACGGCGGAGCACGTCTACATAATTTACACTGACAATCAAATAGAGAGAAAAATGAACGCTGTGGGCATCCGTCAACCAGCAGACCAACAGAAACATGCACTCAGGTTGGGGAGATTTCTCTCTAACTTTTAGGGATTTCATGTTTTAACTTGAAGGACTACAGGCTCCTGTACAGGTTTAGCTGCTTAGAAAATGCCTCGGGTTTATGAAGCCTCTTCAAAGGCAATTAAATAAACTAAGATACAGAGAGCTGTCAAAACTCCCCCCAAAAAACGTGAGAGATTTTAAATTCTGTTATCGGCGCTGAAATCTGCTTTGATCCTCACAATAAACCTGGAACGCATCCTGACCTCAGTCCGACTCTAACACCAGTTTTACCGCTCGAGGAAGAGGCTATTTTCCACTGAGAAAGAGATCAAATATGATGTTTATTTATATGTCAGGTTAAGACTCACTTTACAGCCTCATTTACAACATGAAGCAAACACAATCATTCTTGATAAATGTGATGATAAAATTTTACCAGGTTGCAATATCTGACTGATGAAAGCAAATAAATACTATAAATATAAAAAACAAAATGAGACCAGACTATTTCAGAATCAGAATCAGAATCCCTCTGAACCCCAAAACCTGCCAGCAGGTTGACCGGCTTGCTGTTATCTTTTAAAAACTGTGTCCCCTAAAAACCAGACTGGGTATAAATGTGGTATCGGCTGGACGTTGGTTTGTGACGCTGTGCTCAGTTTGTTAATGCTCTGCACTGTTCAGGCTCATTTCCTTTTTCGTCATAGTTTGTGTAACATGAGTTTCAGAATCACATAAAACTTTTATTTTTATGTGCAATGGTTGAATTTCATGTGTAATATTTAGTTTTCATTTACGATTTGTCAATTTAATGGGAAACGTTTCACTCCTCAGGCTCAACGTGTGGATTTCATGTGAAATATTTTAATGTTTTAATTTAGTGTGAAATGTTTCAGTCATATCATGTGTAATGTTTTAATTTTATGTGCTATACTTCAATGTACTGTGTAAAACTTTAGTTCAATGTGCATTATTTTATTTGCATTATGCGGAAAAGTTAAATCACATTTGCAATGTTTCTGAAACAACGTGATATGATTTCACTTGTTCAGAATCATTGCCTGTGTTACTCATCACTTTTTCTTTTGTAGTTTTGGCTCAATGTTATTGATTTTTCCCCCAACAATGTATTATATGTATATCTTATTGATTTTACAGAAGGAACGACATTTCTCATGTTGTGTAAATTTCTTTTCTGAGCTGTACCTGCTAAAGGAATTTCCTTCAGGACTAATAAAGGTTTATCTTATTTTATCATACATCATCTTTTTATCGGGCAGCAGCCAATGAAGCGACTAAAACTTTAACTGAACTCAGAATGATGAACAGTTCTTCAAATGATTCTCAGAAAAGAACAGAACCACAAAATCTCTGTTACGATCTGGAATTCCCATTTTCACAACTTCATACTTGCATAAATTTTGTCTGTAAACTTTTGAACCATAAATAAGAAGAAATATTAAACCAGGCATGAAACCAGGATGTTTCTGCTGCAGCGACGTTCACATCACATTGTTCAGTGTCTTCGTTCTTTCAAGTTGGTGAACAAAACATTTTTGCATCACTGCCATCATCTGCTGGAGAGCGGAGCAGTCGGGTTACTGCTACTGGCTCTCAGCAGGTTGTCAGTCAACATTCACAAGGTTTCATTGCAGCTAAACAGCAAAACAATTTGTTGTCAGACGTTCTTCTAAACTTTGTGCACACAGATTTCAGATGAGAATCAGATACTTGAGCTAAAGTGTTGAGATTTATCTTCTAGCGATTCAGGACGGGACATAAAAGAGGACTCCCAGCCGGACCCGCCTGTTCCTCCCCGGCCCCTGGGTGCCGAGGAGGGGCCCCCGATCGCAGTGTGACAGCCTGGGAAACGGCCACTGATGCCCAAACTGACCCTTTGATCTGGAATTAAAGACCCAGGAGCTCGTTCTGCTACAGCAGCAGCGCCGCCGTGGGACACACACGCTCACAAAGAAACAAAGCGACACACACACACTCACATCGGTGTACGCTCGCTGTGGGTTTGGATGTTCTGTCTTCACTTTGTAGGATTATAGACAGAACCAAGACTGCGGTCAAATCCTCCTCAGATGTCATTTATTTCAGAATATCTTAGTTCTTGGGCAGGTTTTTCTTAAGAGACGTTAATTACAGGCTCAAACCGAAGCACGTAAACAGAACAACTCGCTGAGTTCCTTAAAAAAAGACATCAAAACATGCAGAGTTGGTAAATAAATGAATATAATCAGACAGAACACTTAATTTAACATTCTGTCATAAGCTGGCACTGCCTCGTGAAACACTGTGTTTATTACATCATACTGTAATTATAGTAATTATCACACACTTACAATGTGCTTAAAATGCACCGGCTGTGAGTTTCAGATCCAGTGCTTGTGGTCAGCTCAGGTTCATTCAGAGGATTCTGAGTTGGAAACACACGTCGCCGTCCAGTTTCTAATTTTTTCACAACTTGTTTTTTGTCATTCTCGTGTCGTTGGAAGTCACAGTTGCTCTTTTTCTGGAGTTTTAACTGTTTTGTTGGCACGATGGAGGAAAAATAAAAAAACAAAACCCAAAAAACAAGCTGCAGTGAGGCGCCAGAGCAGCAGAGCATCGATTGAGATAATGAAACAGATATTCAGTCATTAAGCAAAAACATACATAAAAATAAATAACTGCTAATATATGAAAAAGTCTGTTTGTTTTCTTTGGCTTCGAGGCAGCAAGTCTCTGAGTGTTTTAATGGAAAACGTCGTTATTTGTACCGACTCATCACTGTAATTATCTAATTAAATGTCATTATTTTTAATGCAATCATCCAACTGTATGAGACATAACTTTGATGATCGTGGTCATAATTTGACAGCAGCTTTATTTTTCTTTCTGTGGGGAGGGTGGGGGAAGCATGTTGCCATGGTAACATCTCACCATACTGGCAAGATGGAAGGACGGGAGACGGCCAGAAAAGAAAGAAAACACTCACCTTTCGCCATCTTGTTGAGGACCATGTCGACCAGGACGTAGGTTCCACTTCTTCCAGCTCCGTCGCTGCACAGAGAGAGAGGAGCTTCATTAACGTGGTTTGATGACGTCGTATCACTTCTGATCACCAAAGATGTATTATTCAGATTATTTTTTTTGTTATCAGTAAATGTCTTTAACCCTCTGTGGAAACAAAACTGAACTCAAAAACATCTTCTGTGCAGTTTTACACAGTTATAATGTCATAAATCATAAAAAAAGAAGTAAAAACGAAAGTTTATTTATTTTAGAAAAACTGAAAAAACGTGAATCATCATGTGCAGGATTTTCCAAGTGCTCAGAGATACTTAAATAAAATAAAAGTAGAAAGAATCTACATACCACTGACATCTTACATTTCTACTTTCCTTCCTACTGGTCTACTGTCAGGCGGTCTGCACTGCCTGCAGTTCAGCCCAGTTCAGACAAAAAGTCCAGAGATGTTTGTGATGTGACTGTTGCTCGCTGCACAGTCTCTTTCCAGTTACAACCAGGAGCCAAGCGCCATGAGATGACTTGTTGTTGTCAATATGCGCTGTACAAATAAAACTGAACTGAATTGAATTGAAGATTTTTTTGTTTTGTACAGAATGTTTTTTGTAAGAATCGTTTATTTCTTGGAGAATTTTTAAATGGTGCAGAACAAAGTGATTTTCATGAAATTTCTCCATTTTAAGCTTGGATTTGGTTCTTTGTTCTGTTGCAGCACCACGTCACAAATGAGTAGTTCAAGGACCATTGGAATCTTTAAAACTTAAGACTGCAGGAACCTCCACAAGGACATACGATGAAATGTTCTGTACCATCATCCACTGCATGGAAATATATCAAGTTTATCTGCGTCGCTAACTGCAAAATGCTAATGTACATATCAGACTGTATGTTCTCGTCTCACCATCGACTTTGCTTCATGATCTGTTAAACAATAGCTTCTATTCAGCCTCCAAGTAAATCACTTTTCACAATCCGACATGATCTTAAACTCTGTCTTGCAGTAACAGCTGTAGTCATATATGTGTATATTTTGCACTGATGATGGCACACATGGTTAGAAAAATGCTCCATCATGTTGATTCCTGTAACTTTAGTCAGTTCTGCTGTTTGGTCCAGACAAGGCGTCTGCTGATGAAAATTCAAATCAAGACTGTAAACCCAGAAAGAATTATTGCATCTGAAATGTTAACAGACATTTAGAAAAGGCTGGCAGGACTGCTGGCTTGTTAGCAAGTCCCAAAGCTGCTGCTGCAAAATTGCACAGTTAAGTTATGAAATCAGACACCCACAGATTTACTCTAACAATACTTTTCTTTTTTCATATTCATGCGATTGTTATTTTTCCTCCCTGCAGCGCAGACAGACGTAACCCGACTCCAGCGTGGAGCAGGTGAGCAGCAGTCACACAGATTTAATATATCCAGGTTTATGAGTCTTCTAATGCTATTTCAAGGGGATAAACAACTTCAAAGGTGTATAATTATGGAACTGAAGCATTTTTCTTCTGTCAAGAATTAAACATCAGAATATAAACAGACGTCAATGTAAATGCGTGCTCTTCCATTCTAAGAAAAGCCGAACTGAACACAGTGTTCAAGAAATGAATTAATGTATGTGAAGGGAATAGTTGGTATCCTAGATTTTTTTTCCAAGTGTTGAAAATTGATGTGTGCACCCCTACCAGTCTATTTCATGGGCTGCTGTGTAATCCAACAAACTGGAGTGTGTGGATGTGTGCTGGCATGAGTCCATACTTCCTGAATATTTCATTTTCACTGGGACCTTGGTTATTTTCTCCAGTAATTGAGCAGTAGCAGCGCAGTGCGAGTGTGTGCGTGCTTTCTCCACAGATACAACTATCACTCTGATCTTAGACAGTCTGTGTGAGTGTGTGTGTGTCATGCAGGTTATTACGGCGTGATTATAGATCTCTCGTATCGCTGCACCTTGCCAGGATCATTACAAGGTGATCAAAGATATGTGGTGTGTGTGTGTGTGTGTGTGTGTCAGCACACGCCTGAGGGCTGTGAGTAAACATGTCAAGATGTCTGCTGCCTCCTCTCACTCTGTTTAAAATGATAGATATGGAAAGAGGCAGCGAGGAAGGAGAGGAGGAAGATAGAAAGAGACGGCGGAGGCAGAAAAAAAGGGAAAGCTGCTGTGCGATTATTGAATTCCTACATCTCCTGTTCGCTCACTGCTCATCCGGATCGCTTCACTCGGCTCTACGTGGACATTATGGACAATAAATGGCGCTGCGCAGCTGGATTTGACAAAACTGTTCAGAGGCTTTAAGAGAAAGTCGCTACAGGATGAACACGAGCGTTTCTCAATCTTCTCACGCCTGTAGGCTGGTTTGGGTTTCGGGATGCATTTCGATTGGTCCAAATCGAGGTTACAAGTGAGAATATCAATGAGCTGGTGGCTGATATGAATCACTGCTGGACAAAGAAACACCACAGATGCCAACATCTTAATAAGCAACCAGAGACAACAGTTTTACTTTCAGAGCACATTGATAATTGGAAACCTTCAGATGCTCAAACGTGATGCTCGCGTTGCAGTTTTATGCCAAACACATCGCGAAGCAAAACTACAGTCATGACCTCAGTCAAAAGATGCAACCAGAAGCTTGTAGTCGGCCACCAAAAGGTAAAAATGTCCAAAGGATGCTTAACCAAATACTAGCATTTCTATATGTATATTTATGACCCTGCAGATTTGATCATATTTCCAAAAGACCTTTAATAAATCTACAAAAGAACCAAAATGCATGAGTTATTATTCTGTCACGGACAATTCTGCATCATACGAGTCACTGGAAACTCAAGCCTGCCGTGGTAAACATGGTCTGTACAAGTCTATGGAAACTTTGTTCATGACTGTTAACTTTGCTCTGTTGAAACTTGAATGAATTTGAAGGCCAAACCCCACAAGTGTTCAATTAGAATGATCATAAATTATTTATCATTTACCAAGTGATATCTGCCTGTCTCTAGTCTGCCCACAAGATGAGACGACATCTGTAGTGTGATGGCCTGACCAAAGATTCAATCAGACTCCTGCACACTGTTCAACTTGCAAATAGTAGTTGCTGTCACTCCCTATTTAAGATGGATTCTCTCTTAGTAACTACTTGTGTGATAAAAGTTTAGCACAGAAATGTTGCATTGATAAACTGATTTTTTGCAAGTTAGACAATTTGCAGAAATCTGATTCTGACTTTTGGATACACTCCCTTTTCTACACACCTTCCTCATGAAAAAAGATGTGCAAAGAGTTCCTTTGTTTAAATCCAGGACTGAACAAACTGCCATCACTGCCTTGTCAAACTCTTTGACTGTATATAAAAGAAGTTCAGGTCTGAAAAGTGAAGTCAATGCAGAATTGCCTTTATTAGCATTCTGCTACCTGGCCAGCAGGGGGCACTCTCCTGGATTGCAGAGAAGTCTATGAGAAAATGACCCTCCTTCTAACATGATTTACTACCTCAGTAAACACTTTCATAATGAGTGTATGGTTTCAATTGGATGATTCAAGTCTCCTTCAATGCAGCCTAAAGTTTATTTTGTAAATGATGGCTCCATTTAGAAGAAAATAGACGATAAAAGCGGGGTATGTTTTAGGGCGTGGCTACCTTGTGAGTAATAGTTTGTTACCATATTTCCATTTCCTCCAGCTTTTAGTCACATTAACCCTTTGTTCTTTATACCTGGTCTCAAAAAAACAAGATGGCCAATTTGCCAAACTTCAGTCTTTGAAACAGCTGCATGTCACAGTGGCTTCGTCCATCTTTTAAATACAGTCTATGACCCAACTTGAAAATAAAAAAGGTCTAAAGGCCGGTCCAGTCCAATCTTCCAGAACCAACAGCCTTAACGTAATAATCCACACTGACTCCAAGAACTGTCTGTTTAGTGTTTTTTCAGATTTTTCCTCTTGATTCTCAAATCTCCAGCGTATGTTGTCAACCTTTCAGTCGTATCTGTACTGATTGATGGCACTTCCTGGTATCACCGGGAACTTTCTGGCTGCTGTGTAGCAGGTTGGGAAAGTAAGAACAATGAATCCAAAACAAAGTCAGTTTCTTTCTGCTGAGTCGACATGAGGCCTCTTTTTGTCCTGCAAATTTCTGCCGTCAGTCAGCCTGATGAAGACGATTTGTCCGGCTGCTGACAGGCAGCTGGTTCTGAGGATTAAAAAGCCAAACAGGCCTGGACTGAAAGGAAATAACATTTCAGCAGGCAGACACAGACATCTTACTTTTAGTTTGGATTCCCAGTAAAGCTACATCAGCATAAAAGGAATTTTCTAACTTGAGCGTTTGTAAAGACATTTGGCCCTTTTGTTGGCCTTGTGGTCAATCAGTGCATTTTCATACACTTACTGCAATACTTTTATACATTATGTGTATTTATTGTGTATTTGAGGGAAGTTAATGCTGCTCAGACTCTCTCCAGGAAAAAGTCACATGTTTCACCTTCTCCTGCCCACTCAGGTTTTATATGCTACCAAACAAAAGCATCACAACCTTGAACAAACTCACTTAAATACTGGGTGACAAAGCTTAGCTGGCTTTAAGCTGTGACATGTTTCACCTCTGTGCTCAGCTGTATACACTTACAAACCCTGTTACCTGCTCTTGTACATGCTCGCTGTCCTCAACACTTTCATTGTTGTACAAACTGCAACCTATACGCCCCAAGAACACCGAACAGACCTCTGGGGAGGTTTAATGCTTCAAAGATTTGTTAATGTACCAGAGTCAGACAATAGATCTGGTGCTTGTCAGCTTCTTAGCTTGCCAGGCAGTGGATCCTTAGTCCTGCTGCAGTTTGGTTCCCATCTTTAGTGCCTGTTAGTGTTCATACTTGTTTGGGATTTAAACGCCCTCATTGACTCTCGGCCATTTCTTATTTCTGCTGCTGTTGGTAATTGTTTTTATTTATTCTACATATGTGGCATCGACACAATCGTCAGAGTAATTTGAGCAAAAACGCTTCTGATGTCATGATGTATCGCCTCTATGGAGTCTGTATGTTGATGTTTTGGGAGGGTAATGAAGCACACTGTTTGATTTCCACTCAATAGTGTGAGCTACATCCAAGAAAACAAGGTGCCCAACACCCGAAACTCAATACTCGAGTCTCTCAGATGTCCTGACGCAGCGTATACCGACAGAAGACAAAGAAGAAAAACGGCTCTGAACCAAAGCAGCTGAAGGTTTTGCTTATTTACATTTATCTGTACAGTCATAACAGTAAAATCCAGGACGACACAGCAGCTGCTCCAGGTTTAATACTCTGGTGTAGACTGGCAGTTTAGCTGAGAAGTGTACAGTTCCATCATAGTGGAAGAGCCATTACACCATATTAAATAATAGATCACTTAGTGCAGGAGTGAGCAGACAGACATAAGGGCTATCTGCTATGGAAGTGTTTTTTGTTTTAAATCCAATCATTGGAGGGTGTTTCCACATAAAGAAAAAAACTGTGGCAGATTTTTCTGCTAAATACCGATTTAATTATGTCTCCCTGGTCTGAATTGTTTCCTCAGGTGGTGGGGGTATGCAGATGTGATCACACACACACACACACACACAACAGCTGCATCCCTGCCTACTTGTATTTACCCCTCTCTCTCTCTCTCCCTCGCAGCCGCCGGCTCTGACCGACACGCTGCGAGCTATGAAGTGCCTCCAATTAAAAGTTATCCTCCTCCGCGGACAGTTTGTCAAATTAAATCACAACTTTTTGGCTAATCTCTCATTTAAAGTGTTTGTCATCCTCCACATGCCGCTTGACGAGTGACGTGGCAGCTGCTGGGGAATAAAACGCCGGCTCGGACCGGAGGACAGAAACCAGCCAAGTTCAGCTTCAAATCATCTGAGCAAACTATTTCACAGTCTAACAGCAGCTTTTAAAGGTCTTGTGTGTTTGTCAGTGTCATACAACAGATGTCAGTTCAAACAAAATGCATTTCGTAACCTTTAAAACAAGCTAGAACCATTTAAACAAAAGAGAAAGACGTTGGTCATCAGGATACTTGCCTGCAGTGGACTATGATAGGACACGAGCGTCCCCGGTAGCACTTGTTAACTTTCCTGTAAAAAAAACAAGACACAAAGAAGAAGTCAGTGTTAGCATCACATGAAGTCAGTGAATAGGCACAAACAGCAGGAAAACTCAAAACAGGGCTGTTGTGGTATAAAACCTTCACTGCATCGTTATTATGACCAAAAGAACTTTTTAAAATTTGAGAGAAAAAATGTGCAGAATTGAAGGGCTTTAGTGAGCATGTGCAGAATACGTCAGTAGATCTGATGTTCTGTGCATCTATGTAAAGAAACACTCAAAGAATGTGGTTTCATTGTGTCTTCTTCTTATTTGGCCATTTCTGTCAGTTGGCAACGAACACTAAGGAACAATATCACCAAGCAGGAGCCTTCAGCAGATAGCTGCTATTTTATTATCATCTGTGTGTTATTGACATGAAATTAATATCGCCTCATTTAAATGTTACAGTTTTGTCAATCGTGGTATTTAATGACAGCCCTAATTTAAGTTTTTCATAGGAGAAAACTAAATTGTCCCCTCAGACAAACAGAATTGGAATTTATTTCGTTATAGCTGCACAGCTTGTGGTTTTCTGACGATCAAAGCTGTAAGTTGATCATTTGTCCAGATCAACTTACTGGTCCATCGTGTGCACTTTCATACTTAGAAGCTTATATTTCCTTCAATCAGACCAAAATGCAAATGTGGTTGTAACAACTCTCTTTAGAGATTATTTCACCACATATGTTCTAGTTAGAGATGGTTTATACCTGGACAACGTGCATGAGGGAGTTAAATAAGTTCAAGATTTAAAAGACCCAAGAGTCACATGTAGCACCTTTAACATTTACTTCACTGATGGAAACTCGTGCTTCCAAAGAACAGCCACAAACAAAGAAAAGAGCCGTTATTTCCTCACTAGTGCTCATAATGTTCAGAAATCAACGAAGCTGAGACACAAACTCCACAAAAACTTTTACTCCGAGAAGGGTTATGTTTGCATCCATGTTTGTTATTGCTTCCTTACATTTATAAAATATCTGAACTGTGTGTTCAAAACCACGTCATGTTTGTGAAAAACTGTGGTAAAAACTCAGCACCTTGTTAAACACAAAGTGCAGCCACGTGCTCTGTGTGAGAGTCGGATCCCAGCAGCAGCTCATCTCTGATTCTGTTTCATGGTCACAACTCTAAATAACAATATTCAGCTGGACTGTATAATGTAAAGGCTGTGTGCATGTGTGTCTGTGTGATCCATTATACATCAGTCAGTGAAGGAAAGAAGCCTCAAACCTGAAGTGTCGACGCTTCGCCTTTTATTTTCTTCCTTTGTGCTGCAGGTTTCTGTGGTCGTTTATGTTTTGAGGAAAATTTAAGACCTTTTTTTTAACATTAAAAAAAAAGTATTTTAGTGGAGTTTGTTGGAAAGTTAATAAAAAAACGAATGAGGAGTTTTTTTTAGTTGCAGATGTGAGTGTCATTCTAGTCTATCATCTGTTTCTCTGAATCAGACCGAACGCTGAACAAGGTTTCTTGGAAGAGGAGGTTTTAACGATAGACGGTGAACACATGCATCTCACTGGGCTTTCCAACACAACAAGCTTTCCATGTATAAAAAACCACACACACACATTTCCATCCTCCACCCCACCAAAATTGAAAAGTCAGAGCTCGCTGCAGACAATCAAAAGTGATGTTACCATGGAAACAACCAGCAGAGGATCACCAGTGTAGAGGGGTGTGAGATTCAAAGGAAATACCCGAAAGAAAGGGAGAGCGAGAGAGGGAGTGAGATGAAAAGGCAGATAGAGCGATAAAAGAGAGGAAGAGATGGATGAAGAGACGGAGAGATGCTCTGATGGAGAGAATGTGTCCACGTTCATACAAAGGATTTTCCTCTTTAGGTGTGACAACACGTTTCGTTTCTAGTTGGTAGAGCAGAAGACACTCAGTTTAAAATGTGTGAGATAATATGATCTGCATTCACTCAATCATTTATTCATTATCTAAAGTCATTCAACAGCAATCATTCTTGGTCTAGTTAATCATACGTGTAGCTTCAGGGATGATTTCTGCAAATATTTTCATGTTTCCTGTTCAAGGCGAGGAGGTAGACTGTGCAGCACGCTTTCATTCTGATGTTTCCCACTAATCCAGACGCATCGACATGTGAAAACTCTGCAGAACCCGGAAACGCATCCTTCATCTGCAATCTGCACGTAAACACTCAAGTTGCTTTTCTCAAACTGGCCACATGCAGCTCGGCTCATTTCCATTTATTCTTGCTTCTGCTGTTGAACACGTAGAAAACAGTGATTTGATTATGGATCATAAATCTGTCTGACATCTGTTTACCTTGGGAAATGCAACACAGGCCGGCTGCAGCTTGGAGCTGACGCCGAATGCATTATGCAGACAGAACAGAATCTACATTATGGAAATCTGTTCATCCATAGCATGTGCATGCATCCTGCAGGGAAACAGTACATACAATGGAAGAGGACGTGTTGGAATTGTGCTTTTGTGAAGAGTCGACAGGTACTTCAGCTGTGATACTTATAATTAATACTGAACATCAAGACAGCTAGTTGCTGCTTTCTAGTGTTTTACTGGTTTCAGGTCAAATCTAGACTCTGTTTTTTCTTGTTCTCACTCCAACATGAGACCAGCACATAAGATGGAGACAATAACTCGTCTTTTCTTAGTGTGGGCGTGCTCTCAGACCACAAGTCAGACTGTGGTGAGAGACAGAAAGGCATAAGAGAGAGGAAGAAGGTGGGAAAGAGGAAGACAAAAGCCACCAGGAGAGGAAGGGAGGCATGTCGAGAGAGGAGGGGAGCTCGGAGGAAGTCAAGCAAACCATGAGCAAGCAAAAAGGCGAGAGGTCATCTCAGGTCACCGAGCACAGCGAGAGAAAGAGGAGGGAGGTGAAGGAGGATAAAAGAAGGGGAGGAGATGGGGAAGGAGAGGAGTAAAAGGGAAGGGAAGGGGGAGCCCATGAGGCCCTTTGGTTGTAGAGTCACAGTCTCCAATGATCACTTTTGTGACTATGCAACTGGGCTTATATTACTAGCTGCAACATCACAAAAATGACACTGGCAACCGCTAGTTAGCTGGTAAAACAGAGGGTCGGGGAGGGGAGAGGATTGTGAGCAAAGCTTCAGGTCAGTCAGTCCGGGGTGAGTTAATAACATGCCGGCTCAAGCATAAAAGATGGAGAGATATTTCAGCCGGCATCCTCGCACCATCGAGGTGGAGAGAAAAAAAAGGAAACAAACCCACCCCAAAAAAAAGGAGGACAGGCTGTTATTGTGAAAGCACCATATCCGTGGTAATAAAAGTGAAAAATATCTCCCTCTGCGCTTTCTTCATTGTGTTCTGACCCCGCCGCCCTGTGAGTAAAGGCAATATTTCCTAACTGATGGTGGGTGGTGACGCCCACCAGACCCTTTTATAATAGCTGTGACCACAAACTCTCACTCTTGATATCCCACCTAATTGATGTGCCCCAGCAGCACGGTGACGCCAGGTCTATATATAAAAACCGAGTTGGGGTCCATCGCTCAAGAAAATCCACAGTGAATCAGAGAAAAGGGGCCGCGGCGGCTGCCACCTAATAGGCAATACAGTATATCAGTTTAAAAGAGGTCGAAGGGGAGAAGGAGGGAGTAGTTATAAAGGCGCCGGAGATAAAGGATCACTCCGGCTCAGTTCCCTCAATGCATCCTGAATTACGCCGTTATCGACTGGAAAATGCCCGGGATGTTTGAGGATATAGAGATATTTTTCTCTCACTATCGCTGGGTCACGAGTCTAAACTGGTGGAGATGTGAGAGGTTTGAGGTTATTACAGTTTATCTTTGTGGTTAAAATAGGGCGACTCCAGACCTTCTGTGAGCCTCCTTCTTTCTTTCATTTTCAACTTACATAGAAATAAAAATATGAAAAAAATGTGATTTGTGGTGTGAATGTCTGCACCGTCAATAACTCACTGGATTTTATGCAACCCAGCCGCTTTTCAAATACAATAAGTTAAAAACTCTCCTACAGGTCTTTTGTTCTTCTGTTACACTTTTTGGTTTCCAACAACTTTCAAGGAACTTCTGAGGAGTGAAAACACAAGAACCAAAAGACAAAGTTAAAGGCTGTTGAAGCCACAAAAGCTGTGTGGTTCCTGAACGTTACACCGTTCATCACAGGATTAAAGACCAGTGAGAGTTATGGTTCAAGGACTGGAAATGTCCAGGATGTTTGAGGACATTTAGATATTTGTTCTTCTTGTATCTCTGGGTCATGAGTCTGGATTCCTGGAGATGTGGGGGTTTGAGGTTATTCTGGTTTATCACCATCTTTGTGGTTAAGGTGGCACATGAGGGCGACTCCAGACCTTCTATGAGCCTCCTTCTTTCTTTCATTTTCAACTTAAATAGAAATAAAAATATGAAAAAAACCTGATTTGTGGTGTGAATGTCCGCACCGTAAATAACTGACTGGATTTTATGCAACCCAGCTGCTTTTCAAATACAATAAGTTAAAAACTCCCTCCTACAGGTGCCCACTTTCCTGTCTTTTGTTCTTACGTTACACTTTTTGGTTTCCAACAACTTTCAAGGAACTTCTTGCCATGAGGAGTGAAAACACAAGAACCAAAAGACAAAGTTAAAGGCTGTTGAAGCCACAAAAGTTGTGTGGTTCCTGAACGTTACACCGTTCATCACAGGATTAAAGACCAGTGAGACTTATGGTTCAAGGGTTGGAAATGTCCAGGATGTTTGAGGATATTTAGATATTTGTTCTTCTTGTATCTCTGGGTCATGAGTCTGGATTCCTGGAGATGTGGGGCTTTGAGGTTATTCTGGTTTATCACCATCTTTGTGGTTAAGGTGGCGCATGAGGGCGACTCCAGACCTTCTATGAGCCTCCTTCTTTCTTTTTGCTGGAAAATTCCATCGCTAAAGACGCCAACTTTCCTGTGTTTTGTTCTTCTCTCACAGTTCTCAGTTCCCAGCAGCGTTCAAGGACCTGCTACTTAAAGACTATGTGGTTCCTGAATGTCACACCGTTCATCACAGAACATGAGAGGAGTGAGACCTTCAGTTAGTAGAAGATGCTTCATGCAGACCACAGCAAGCAAAGCCCTTTAGTGGAACACAAAGCAGTTGGAAACATTCCTTCATTTTGGATTTGTCGTATTCCTGCTATTTGTATGTTCTTGTGGAAGCGTTCTTGCAGAGAACACTGACAGCAGGAATAGAAAAGTGGATGTTCAGCTACAACCGTACAGTACTTTGGTTTTAATGTATATGTACGAGCTGACTTGTACAAATGCAGGCTGCCTTTGTTCAACCAAAGGCAAAGGAAGAAATGGACGGTGGTGTTCTGCTGTGGAAACGATTCCTGTTATCAAAGTGCGTTTTTCTCCAAAGGCCTCTTTCAGGATGACTTACAAAAGTTCAGCTTCGAAAATCTCAGCATCTCCTCCATCAACACAAAAAGCAAAAAGCTAAAGTACTTTATGCACTTCAAATGAAAACGAGTTCCAAGAAACTCTTTAAGCAAAATGCTAATTATTCTGTATTACTGGGACAGAAGAATGTGTTCAAAACAAAACAAGCGTGTGAGTTCCTGGTTCTGCTCACTAGTCTACGATGTGGTTTAACAGCCAGCGCTGACTCCAGCTTTATGTGTGCGTTCTAACAATATAAATATCTGTAGCAGGAAGCCAGTGAGGGATCAGAGCCCACAGACCCTTCAACAGCCCGGGCATGTAGAGAAAAAGTAAAGTAGAGAAATCTGAGTTTTGTTCTGAAGCAGTTCCCTACCTGCGGAAGTCGAGCAGCGTCCGGCTGGTCTCCGGAACGTTCTGGTTGAGCCAAGTCAGGAAGTGGAACTGAGTGACGGTCCGCGTCTCATTGGTCTGCATGTTCTTCAGGTAGAAGCTGCGAACCAGGAAGTCGTCGCACCAGATGTGTTCGGATACGAGGTTCACCTGCAAGGAAGCAACGAACCAACACGTATTTACTGGAGTGAAGGAAGTGGTGAAATGTAAATGCAACTTACTGCACTGTGACAATAAAAAAAAACTTTTAGAGAAGTTTTTACCTGCATTTCAAAAAGTTAATGGAAACTTCGTAAAATAACTTTCCCAGTTTCACACAAGGTGGTTTTTGACTTTTTCGTGAAAAAGTTAATGGAAAGACGTTTTCTGAATAAGTTCTGCCACAGCACGTATTTAACCCACATAGATGATCAGCTGTTTCCTCGTCTTGATCTCCTAACAGCATGAAACAGGCTCCATCTGATGTCAAAGAATCATTACAACTGTCCAGATTGATACCAGATTCTAAAGATTTCTCTCCATGTTTCTCTTCTAGACTGCCAGAGTTTTGTTTTTCATCTTTTTGCGGTTTTGTTTCTGGTTTCCTTTACTGTTGTTCATTAGGAGTGACACTGTTCAGTTTATTTGTTCCAAAACAGCAAATGGCAACAAGTCCAATGTAGATTTTCTGTTTTTTGCTCCTGATTTGCCACAGACAGGACTTACAACTTGTAAAACTGAAGAAGAACTCCCGACTCGATGCTGTCATTTCACAAGCAGTTTACTATTGTACAGATTTTCCAGGTTTTGTTAAATTACAGATGATAACTAGTGAAAGAATTATTCATTTATATGCTAATCCTAAAAAAACAACAGCTGTGTATAATGTCCACACCGTCTGCTTTACAAACAGTTCATTTGTTCTTTTACAATGTCACATGTAAATACAGAAATTTTAATGTTTAAATCAGCTTTAAAAATTATTTTGCAGATATTTGTCATTGGTTTTTTAAATTATTACAGTATTCCACAATTTGTTGGTATATTTGTTTCTGGACTCTTGCTCCCAGATTTGTAGTTTTATTAGTGTCCTTGTTTTTACAGTGTACCGTATTTATAAGCCACTGAATCAGTCTATTTAATGCAAACTAACCCCACTCCCTGAAATCCTACATAACTCTTTAAAACAGGGAACCAGACCAAAGCATTCATGTTTTCTTCACATTTTACAGTCAGACGCTGCTGAACAATCACTTGTGCTGAGTCATGTTACCTCGTAGATGTGGTACAGGTTGGATCCTTCATCAGGCCAGTAATGGTAGCACTGCTTCACCCCGTTCTCCACCAGAGGAGTCAGCATAACAATGACCACACAGCCATTCTCCCAAACCATCTGCAAACACAACACACAGGCAAATGACTACTTGCTTTCTGTAGGCCTCATTTTTCTGAAGGAAGCAGTTTCCCTACGAGATCAGCAAAGTTTTCTGATTCTGTTTTATAAGTGGAAATGAACGGTGCCTCTCTAGTGACTTTGTGCGGCTCTACACCTGCAAATGTAACAAAGAGCAACATACACTCATGTATTTCTACAAGGTTTTCACAGTTTTTCAAAAGTACAGATGATCTATGTTCCCAAATGTTCTTTAAAAACTCCCAAAGTTGATGTAAATGTCAAGCACTCAGCCGTTTGTGAAGAGTAGGAGTCATATTCTTGAAGTGGTGCAAAGCCTCATTTGCCAGCTTGATTTGAATCTGTCAACACCTCCCAAAAACTGCCAACAGGAACGCTGACATGTGTCCTCGTGCACCCACTCACTTGGATATTAGTCCGTAATTAGCTGAAATGTGGTGCTAGCTATCATTTTGGAAGGGTACATTTGTCTGATTTTTGGCGGCAGGAGGGAAAAAAAATCTTCAAGACATGAGATGCTTACAGTTTCAAACTTTGGGAAGAAACTACAACGAAGTCAAGCATCCTAAAAGTAATTGCTGTGGAAGCTGTTCCCTCCCCCGGCTGGGTCATTTCCACAGCCAGACCCGCCGCCCGGTCGTATTTTTCCTGCTGGCAGTCATATTCTCACAGCCGGAGGGTGGGCTTGCTCAGGAGATCCATTCCACTCTGATCAGAGGTAACAGTCGGCCCTTAATGGAAGCCATAAAACAAAAACTGCTCCCACATCATCATCGCGTTGGATAATCAAGATGGCCGCACCTGCCGTTCTGTCAGGAGCGCTGCCACACCTTGACGGGGGTTTAACCACCGCTAATTGCGACGGGTTATGAGCTACTGCAGCCCCCACTGCTTCCTGTCTACAAATGTGACTGTGCACTTTTTTTTTTTTGAGGGATGGCGTTAATTTGCTGAAGCTGACAGGATGAGAGCTCTGGTGCTGGAAGGACAAGTTCACGCTTTTAAATATGAGGTTTGTTAAAATGCAAATTGTATTTAAATCCATATTTACTCAGAAAAAACCCAACTGCACACCACTGCTCTTTTGTGGAGTTACATACACTAGGTTCATGACGCTGTCGGTGATGTATGTGCTGTAATAACCTTGGCCGGCTCCTCATAAAGCAGCCTGATAAGACACAGTAAAGCTGGTTACGTTAACTGGGCCACAACATAACAGGATGGCAGGATAGAGCCTCAACAAAGAGTTCTGGAAGCACAGAAACACCACTTAATGAACATAACAGGAAGCCATGATGAGCAGCTGCACTGGTATGAAGTTTTTAAATAATCTCCACAGTGGACATCGACTTTTAGAGGCACCTTTAATCCTTTCAGGGCTTTTTTCTCCAGCTCTGATTTGAAAGCCTGTTTGTTTGTTTGAAGGTGTGACTGTATTGTGGACCATATGGGCTGATATTCCAGGTGAAGGACGCCACTCCTCAACTCTTAAGCAGCAAAACTCACTGTATGTATTTAGACCTCGTAGCTGTGACTGTATGGATGATATAAGGTCGGCTTATATTTGCCTTCTGGAGCTCTGTTACCGCACAAATAAGGTAAAATATATTTCTATGTTCTAAAAAGCTAAACCAGGATTACAGAGAGAAGGCAGTAAGAGGAGAGAGAAATCCTGGCAAAGAGGAGAAATAAAGAGGAAGAGAGTTGCTGAGGAATGTAAAGGAACAAAGAACAAAGAATGTACACAACACAGATAACGAGCACTGGGGTCTGGAAAAGCTGCATTACAACTAAATCTGTTGGTTTCTGGCACAGACTTTTTTAATTTCTTTTTTTTCTTTGATGGGGTTTATGTGACGACGTTTGGGGAGACCCGTCTAAAACCTGAAGTCCAGCCTGATTGAACCATTTCTTTACCACTTCTGATGTGTGTTTAGGCTCATTGTCTTGTCAGAACACCAAACTGTGTCCAAACCCCAACTGATGATTTCAGGTTTTCCTAAAAATAAATCCTTCATTATTCCTTTTATTTTGTGCAAAGCACCAGTTCCACAGGCAGCATAATAATAATGCCAGCACCGTGCCTGATGGTGGGTTTGGTGTTCTACTGATGAGAAGGGGGTCAAAGTTAATCCCTCGTCCCCCCTGAAGGTCAAGGACCACCATCACTACCACCACACAACCAACCAGCTGCATTTCTGCTGAAGTCAGCTTCAAAGTCTCATATTCAACTTCTCTCTTTGTGACAGTTAAAGTAGTTTGTGTTTTGTTTTCTCCAGTGAACTGTTTTCAGTTATTTGCAGTAAAAAAAAAAGCGTCCATACAACACATGCCACTCATCTTGGATGCTCACTTGAGGCAAAATAAGCTTTTAATTTTATTAATCTTTAGTGATACTGAGTGGGTTAGCGGAGCACTGATGCTCTTTTACAGCACTGGCCTTTAAGCAGCTCAGTATAATTACACAAGCAAAATATAGCATCATTTGTTAGCTTCTCTCTGTACCACAAACTGATGAAACTGTAATATATGGTGTCTTCAAATGTCTTCTTATCTTCTAAAAGCTCCACAAGCTGTCACACATTTGCTGAAGTTTTTAGAAATGGCCGTGAAAGTTTATTTTGCATTGGATAGAAAGCTAATATATTTTAATTTGTGTCATAAAGAGTTTTTCTTTGCAACTTTATAATTTCCAGGGACCTTGGTCTTCCTGCATTACCTTACCTGATTGTTAGCATGCTAACTGGCTAGCCTCAGTGGCTCTTATTTTCTGACAGTGAGGACGACTAAAGTCAACAACAGGAATTTAAAAGAAGATTAAAGTGGGTTTTAAGCAAGTAAGGAAAGTGTGATGAGTAAATAAATTTAACAAATTTCCCGGTGATGGAAAAGAATTACATTTCATCACAACAAATAAAACACAAGAGGCTCAGATGTGGTCCCACTGAGCTGAGGTGAAACCTGCTGATTCTCCTGGTCAACGTCAACTCTCCTTCGTTCTGCACATATTAAACTAGATACCATCAAGGAATGAAATGTGGATTCACAGCTTTACAATCAGAAATTCTGATGAATGAAAACATAATTTTGCAACGTAATCCCCGACAGATATGCGTCTCTGTTAATACTACACAAAACATGAACACGTTTTCCCTTTGGTTCAGGAGAAAACACAAAATTAAAGGAAAAGGTCAGAAATTACTGGTCAGAAACTCAATTAAAGGTTAACGGGGATTCAGAAAAAAAAAAGACTGGTATCCGATTTTCCATGTCGTTATCACGAGTTCCATTTGAAGGCATCGATATTTGAGGTCACCATCTGTGGAGGCTTTGGTAACGAATGATCAGAGCCAAGAAGAGACATAATATGTAGTATGATTAAGATATAATAGGAAAACATAATGATCTGTAATATGACGTTAATCAAAGACAGAACTTAGATCCTGTGGTTTTCAGCAGACCTCTGGAGAGGAGCATCGTCTTAAACTAGACAAACAAACAAAGTTGTGAGGAATTACTGACGAGTCGTGTTTCATGTTTGATGATCTGCACCAGCCTGAGATTTCTTTGACTTCTTGCTCCTTCTGCACAGCGACCATCGTGACCGTGAACGCTGTGTGGACTGAACTTGTTTGACAAGGAGACCTTTTCTTTCCAGCACCGGAAACCCACAAACACACGACGCACATATACACTGAGACTGGCTGGAATAACTTATCGATCTACCGGTCGCAGATCCAAACCAGATCCAAGGTTTGGGACTGAGGGAAAAGCTCCCTGCATTAACAACGTGTCCCACTGCAGGCTGCTGAGAGCATTATGGTGACGGAGAGATTAATAATGACATCCACAGAACAAGTCGGCCTCCTGTGTGACTTGCTGCGCTAATAAAAATCGGCTAGCTCTTGTTTAAGAGAGGAGAACGCATTGATTTTAGTTTGATGAGAGTGTGTTTTTACCTGCCAGAAATCAGCCACGGTGGAGGGCAGCGGACCTTGAGTGGCGATGTAGGCCGGGTTCCTGGGATCGTGATCCATCTGCGGGGAGACCAGAAGAAATGATGTAAAGTCATGATGTTAATCTCCCTTTTGCACAACTCCCGACTGCATCGACTCAAATAATTCTGTTTATCGTCACAAGTTCATTCTGTCTGACAGTGATTTCACTGGATGCTGCACAAAGCGTTCAGACAAAACCAAACCAAGAAGAAAGTCAATGCTGCTGGTTTGAACACTGGCCTCTGACCTTCATGAGCTAAAAGCTGAAAATCACACAGAAATAGAGATTTTAGTCCCATGATTTTTGTTGAAGTTCATGCAAAGACAAACTTGTTTTATTTTATGATGCTTCAGTAGATTGAAGTGAATTAGTTCAAAACTGTTGCGACAACAGTTGTGAGTTTAAAAAAAAGGAGAAATTCTCAATCAGACAAACCCTAAAAGTTAATATAAGTAATATAAATATACATTTTGTAACTTAGTATCTTTTTTATTTTGTTTAAAATTGCCCCTAATATCAAGTTTTCTGAGCATTAACATTTTTAGAATTAGTATTCAGCAGGAAGTCCTGAGAAACAAGGCTGCACTTTTTCTACATTTTCTTTTTCTAAAACTCAACAGTTTAACAGCCGCCTTGTAAATACAAACATGTTGGTGAACGTGTTAAAGAAAAACGTGGTGCTGCAGCAAACATGCTGCATTAATGACAGCGACCTGACTGATGAGGGACAAGTTGACAAATGACACAGAAAAGAGATTTTAGTCAAACATACAAAGTTCAAGTCACGCTAAGATGAAGACCAACGTTCAAATGCAGCCGTGCTTCATTTTAAGATGCTTCAGCATGTTTAAGTGAATCAGTTCAGCTCTGTGACAACATGACGGAGTCAAATCAAGTGACAGCCTCAAAACACAAAACCTCCAACATTGGGGGACGTTTTTCTTTCTTAACATCGTAACCCCAAATATTTGCTACTAACATAAAATAACATTTAAAACCTGTAATTGTAAATAATCATAAAATCAATTAAATCCATCAACGCAAATTTAGCATATTTTAAAAAATTATTTTATTCAGTTAGTGAAAGTATTTGTCTATTTATCCAAATCTCTCTCTCTCTCTCTCTCTCTATATATATATATATATGTGTGTGTGTGTGTGTGTGTGTGTGTGTGTGTGTGTGTGTGTGTGTGTATTAACACTATTTAAGTAATTTCATTGTTTTTATATCAAATGCATGTAAATGTGACACGGCACACGGTGAAGGACAAAGATGCATTTTAACGATGGGAAATGCATTTTCATATTTACTTTGCAGTATTTTCGGTATTAAAGTTTTCTGACTGTACTTGTTTTTTTTAGACTTCACTGATGCTGCAGGAGGTGAAATATTAGAATCAATAATATCATCAAATGTTGGGGTTTCTGGAATTGTTCATTTTAAACCCATTGCTCAGGGAGTTAATCATAAATAGCACATCTTGTGCATGTAAATGTAATGAAATAAAACAATCTGCATTACAAGCAGCATCTCCACTAAATGACATTTGTCCATGTCGGGTTGTGATCTGCTTCATTCCTTCCAGAAACAACCCGTGTGCCTCAGACTGGAGAATGAATTCTGATTTGAGAGACGGAATAAAGACTGAATTTCTTCCTCACATTTGTGTGACGGGCAATAAAAAGTTGAATTCATTTTCTATCAGGAGTGAACTTGTTATTGGCACATTTCAAATCAGGCCTGATGAGAGAAAAGAAGGAATGTGCATCATTATATTCTGCTGAATTAGCGCCGTTATAAACCCGCTTCTTTTTGCAGCTCTTATATTCACAGCTGGAAGTTTCTTGGAGGAGGAGGTGAGAGGTTGCACACGAACTCAGACTTCTTCCTTAACTTAATGAAAATTACAGAAGGATGGCGGAGGCGTTGACAGCAAAAGACAGGAGCCGAACGTGAGCTGAATGTGCGGGAAAGTGAGTGACACTCCTGCCTATTACCATGCAAATTGTACGGTAAATGTAATAATTGGCAAGACCAATTTAGTTGGAAATAATGACAGAGGGAAGACAGATAATTTCTGGGGCTTTTCCGTGCACCAAATTGTCTTTAACGGCCTCTGTTCCTTTTATGAATGCCAAACAATAATGCGCCTCTAATGAACTTAAAACGCAGTAACCTGGAGAGGAAGAGGTGATGCGCTACCAGGGAGCTGTGCTCATTAAAAAACATTTACAGCCAGGAACTGCGTTGTGGATGAAAAAATATGGCTGGAGGCACAAGTCCACGTTTCCAGGGTGATTCACCGGATGGTCACATGTTCGCTCAGTGGCCATAAATATGAGGACATCTCTGTTCATGCAGGTCTATTTTCTGGTCAGTTAATTACAATGATGTGATGTGACAGACTACAGTGTGTTTGTAGCTTTGTTTAGGTTGGTCCCTTTCATTTAGCAAAATGGCAGCAGCTCCATAAAGAAATAGTTTCCCAAGTTGGTGTCTGAAGAACCAGATCAGGCTGCACAGAACCTGAACCTGAACCCCGATCCAGCACCAAGACCTGAAGCAAAGGCTGTTTATCGTTTACCCCGTTTGTCAGAATGCAAACAAAACATTGGCAAAATCACAAAAACAGACGAATAATTTACATGTTTTATATAAAATAACATTTTAAAGCTGTAATGGTAGAAAAACCTTAACTTGAATTTTTATGGATATTTACATTTTTTGACAAAACAAATAAATAAAAAATACATTTAAAAATATTTCCTTTTCTATTTAATAGATGAAAGTGTCTATTTTAATTTAAATACTGTCCATATTTTCTAAAACTGGATCCAATTAGTGCAATAATAGAAGAACAAGTATTGGGTCTGAATTTTTACACTTTTTTTTTTTAGCTGAATGTGACATCAAGGTAGTATTTATTTATTTATTTATTTAGTTAGTTAGTTGGTTTTACGTGTAAATATCCTATTTAGGTCTCTAATTTGGACGTCTAAATGCCCAGTGTAGTGGCTATTTGGAGCACACATGAAACCAATAAAACAACAGTAAAATGCCTTTAATAATAATAATAATAATAATAATAATAATAATAACAACAACCCTAAAATCATCCTTGTAAAGGAAATTAAAAACACCTCTAAAATGCATTCACTAAGTTGTCATAACTTTGCCAATACTTTCTTTTATAGGTTTATTTATGTAATTATGTCTATAATATTATTATTTAGGGTTATTGTTGGTACACATGCAAATATCCTTCACAAAACATTAAACAGTCCCAAAATACACAATCTCATGTAACATTAAGGCTTGAAAGTGTATTCCAACTTTGAAAAATTACTGTATTTTTATGATTATTTTCCATTAAATTCCTGTATTTTTGCAGTGCAGCGTCACTGTCTGGTCTTCACTCATGTGCTTGAGGCTGATCGGAGCAAATCGCTGCAGTGAGGCTCCAACATTGACTTGCAGGTGTTTGATTTAAATGTTTGTATGAGTTTGTGTCCAAGCAAGCTAAGTGTGGCTGTAACATAAAGGAAGCAGGAGACGGTTTTTCATCCTGCCAACGATGCATTTCTGGTAGTAAATAAGCAGAACTACTGAAAACCTGCTGAGCTCTTGAATGCTTTGAACAAAAGCACTAATATTTCCTTTGTCTATTCCACAGTGTTCATTGTCCAGGAAATTTAAAAGGAAGGAAAATGTCTCGCAACATCCAGAGTGTTGGGATGGAGGAAATGAAAAGAGAAAGACCAGGACAGACAGGGACAGAGGAACAAATGGCACCGAGTGATCAGGAAAGACAAGAACGAGACAAAAACCGTTGAAGGTAAAAAAAAATAAGGTGAGAAAACGGAGGGAAGGAGAGAAAATGCAAAGTCACCGGACCAGGAAGAGAACGAACGTCTTTTGATTTCTTTCTGCCTCTGCTTCTCCTTTTCACTCTGCGTGGAGACACAATGCTTCCTGACATCTCAGAGCGTCTCCAGAATTAAAGCCCCACATTAATGACATTGCAAAAGGACAACTGTCTCGCTCTCTTTCACACACACGGCTGCTAATGAGGAACAAGAGTGGAGGCTGTGACAAGGCTAATTATCCCCGTTATTGGGTTTTTGTCTTTTCTGTGGAGGAAGGAAGCTTTGAGTGTGTGTTCTGTGTGTGTGATGAAGTTTGACGATGAGGCCGACGGTGCTCCGGTCTGACACCTGACAGACGCTGGCAGCGACATGGATTAGCTGTAATGTAACCTGAGTCCACGCTTTAGGAAGTGAAACAACCTCTGCTGTTACACAAACACTCTTTGACAGACAGTTATTGTTGGGTTTATGCTTTTTTATTGCTTTTTCTGTCTTTTCTCCACACAAACTGGGCTTACCGCTTGCCTTCATGCTCACATTCTGCAGAATAAAACAGCGGCTGACGTGTTGGTCCATCGATTTGACTGAAAACTGAAAACCAGTCCCATCTCAGAGGAACTGGGACGCTGAGTTTGGACGGCGAGTTGCTTCTAAGCCTTTCAGATCTCTTTTTTCCAGATGACTTATATGGTGTGGAGAATATGAATAATGTTGTTTTTGACTTTCATACAGTCACACTGTGTCTGCTGCTGATCTGTCCTGACTTCTAAGGACACATTAAAGGACTGCGTGTCATTTTTAAATAGAATATATTCCTTATGAGAACACACGCCATTTTGTTTTTAAAAAACAATGATTCATGTGTCGTGTTTTAAAGGAAGCTCACATGGACTGCTGGTCTGACAGAATCACTAATTAGTGCCAAAACTGTAGTTTGTACTGAGTTAAAATGTGTTTGTTGTGTGTTAGAAGACATTTGATTGATTTCCATGAAGCTGCTGAGTATCAACGACTAAAACACTGATTCACATTTCTGAGGTTCACATATGGACCAAAACAATCTTTTTTCCCTGTATGGACAGAAATCTGTGCAATTTCAGTATTTTTATGACATATAGAATAATTCTGTGCACTTTCCACTGTGTGTGAAATATCATCAATACTTGTACATGTGTTGTGTATTTTTATCCTCTTTGCTGCACATTTCCCTGCCATGGGCTTAATAAAGCCGTGTCTAATCTAATTTGATCTTAACCCAGAATTACCACCTGCCACTGAGCAGCTTAGAGTTTACAGTGTTTGAAGCAGAGCTGCAGCGAGCTGGTGTGCTTGAGCTGCAGCAGCTGGAGATGAGTGTGTTCAAAGACCGGCAGACACACAGAGTTTCAAAACCTTGTCGATGCGATAATGTGGAAAACATGTAAGATTATTAAAGGCAAAAACTGAAAAAACTCTTTTAGGTGTTAAATCATAACCAGAGAAGGATTATAAGCTAAAACAAACAAACAAACAAACAAACAAACAAACAAACAAACAAGAAAAACTTGTTGTGTTTCTACTTGTATTTGGTAGAAAGTGACTTGTTTCAAGCTTAAACTCTGTGACTGACTTTATTGTTCCATAAAAAAGTAAACTTCATCATAAATGAGCCGCTGATGTTCCCGTGAAGTTCTACCCAGACTGTTTGGACTTTGCATCGAGCTGCTGTGAGGCTGAAGCAGATACGAGATGAAACCATTCGCAGGCTTTTCCACTTTCTTCAGCGCAACTCTTGTAAATCTTTAATCAAAAAAAAAAAGTCAATTTAAGTGTCAATAAAGGCTGCGAGGCTGATTTCAACTCTGGGTTATCAGCACGCAGCATGCATCCGAATGAGTGTGTGTGTGTGTGTGTGTGTGTGTGTGTGTGTGTGTGTGTGTG